CAGGCTGTGCTGAAGTTTGCTGCTGCCACTGGAGCTACTCCTATCGCTGGCCGCTTCACTCCTGGAACCTTCACTAACCTGATCCAGGCAGCCTTCCAAGAGCCACATCTTCTGGTGGTTACTCACCCCAGGGCTGACCACCAGCCCCGAACGGAGGCATCTTACGTCAATCTGCCAACCATTGCTTTGTGCAACACAGATTTTCCTTTGCGCTGTGTGGACATTGCCATCCCGTGCAACAATAAAGGAGCTCACTCTGGGTCTGATATGGTAGATGCTGGCCCGGGAAGTGCTGCGCATGCGTGGCACCATCTCCCGTGAACACCTGTGGAAAGTCATGCCTGATCTCCACTTCTGCCGGGATCCTGAAAAGATTGAAAAAGAAGAGCAGGCTGCCGCTTAAAGTGCTGTGATCAAGGAGGAATTTCAGGGAGAATGGACTGCACCAGCTCAGGTTCACTGCTGCTCAGCCTGAGGTCGCAGACTGGTCTGAGGGTGTGCAGGTGCCCTCTGTGCCCATTCAGCAGTTTCCTACTGAAGACTGGAGTGCTCAGCCAGCCACAGAAGACTGGTCTGCAACCCCCACCGTGCAGGCCACTTAGTGGGCAGGAACCACCACCGAGTGGTCTTGAGCTGTTCTGCTGACGCTTAAGCAAAATGGGAATGAGGCTGATAAAAAATAAAACAGTTTCTAAGGAAAAAAAAAAAAAAAAAAAAAAAAGGAAAGAAAGGAAGGAAGAAAAAAATGTCTACTTTAGAGCTGTCTCTGCTGTCACTATAGCCAAAAGGGGCAGCCAGAACCCAGAACAGTGTTGGTTGATCCTAGAGAGCCTACAGTAGAATTACTGTGGGGTGATGGATAATCCCAGCAAGCCTGTCCTTTCAACTCCACTGATGTTCAGGCTGATCTTGGTTTCTGGCTGTAAGGCTGACACCATAACACTCCGGGTGCCTCTTCTACCTTGATCTTGGCCCCTTGGCCCTGAGTGTCTCCCAAGACAGTGGCCCACCCTGACACTGAAAATCCTGAGATGGATTGTTTTGTTTACTAGTTCCATTGTGTGTTTACGTCTTCTTTGAGCTCACAGTATGTGTAATAAATTTTTAAAATCTCATCTGTTGGGCTGGTGAGATGGCTCAGTGGTTTAAAGCACCTACTTAGAACAAGCTTAGCAAAGCTCAGGGACTGCGGTTCAATCCCCCAGCACCACATGCCAGCCAGCCCCGCCCCCTGGTGGTCTGAGCTGGCCACACACAAACAAATAAATAAATAAATAAATAAAATTTAAAAAAAAATCTCATCTGTTACCTTTTTGAATCATTTCACTGCATGGTTTTTCATTTCCTCCCCTTGATGTTCCATGGATCAGCTTTGAGGTAACTGGAAGGTTTTGGAGACATTTTGTTGCTTTGTCTTCTCTGGGTCCTACTGTTTTTGTGCTGAGTTTTATGGATTATAGTAGAAGACTTTGTTGTTAGTATCAAGACCTCTTTAGTTAGTATCTCCTTTTGAGCAATCATCTGTAGTTATGACTAACTATAATAGGCCTTTGGCTCTGTCCCAAAATCCAACTACCTCTATTTGGGAGAGGAGGCTGTGGTGTATTTGGCCTAGCACCCAGTTCTCTGAGAGTGGGCTATGGTATTGTTCATGACACAAACCCTCCCACAGATACTCATATACAGAGAAAACCTGTTAGCACCAATAACTATGTTATCTTAACAGCAGCAAGAATAGCATCAAAGACCCAGTACCACATACACACATACATACACACACACACACACACACACGCACGCACGCACGCACACACTCATGCACCAATGCACAAACAAGCAAGCTTAGAGGATAATCTGGAAAAAGATGAGAATGAGAAACAGGGAAGTTTGCTCTTTACGTTCATTTAATACCATTAATGGCATTGTGTAATCTCTAAATCCTGTGTATGACTTCCTGTAAACATTACTGTTATATCTTTTGTTCCACTAAGCAATCTTGTTACATATTTTGGAGTATGGTCTGTATTTTTTATGTATAGTTACGCTTTTTTAAAGATAGAATCAGCAAAATTTGGTTTGTTTGGGTTTTTTTTTTTTATTTATTTTTTTCAAGACAGGGTTTTATTGTGTAGCAGACTGGCCTTGAACTTACTTGTTTAGCCCAGACTGACTTCTAACTCTGAGCAGTTCTCCTGCCTCAGCCTCCCAAGTGCTAGGGTTGCAGGTGCATGCTGCCATGCCTGGCAGTACTTGGAAACTTACAGATTTAATGAAAGCATTTGGCCACATAAACTTGATACTTTGAACCTGCACCTAAAGGAGCATTATCTTCTGCATCCACCTGTTTTTGGCCTAGTGTGGTTGTCTGTTTCCTCGCATGAACAAAGAGAAAGCCATTAAAAGCCTCAAGAGATAAATGGACTTTCTGTGTCTTTATCAAGCCAATATTTGCAGAGCTCCATATATATATATCCATCAGAAGCCAAACATTTCATATTTGAAAGGTTATATGACCTACTGTTCCCTCGGCACCTCCCCTCTCTAAGAATTCCTGAATGCCAGCATTCTTCTTCAGTAAGCTTTCATTCAGCTTTTTGTTTCTGTCATGACTTAGGAATGAATTGCCAGTTTCATTTATTTTAAAATATTTTGCTTGGGGCCAGGGAGATGGCTCAGTGGAATAAATGCTTACCTGTCAAGCGCAAGGACCTGGTTCCGCCAAAGAAATTTTTTTGCTTTTTGGTTTGAATTATCATCTCTCTTGGTTATACTGTGCTGTAGAGAAGTTTGCCTAGCTGACATTATTTCAACTGAAACTTAGTGAATACATTTGCAAAAATAGCCTAGAATAGAAAATAATTGATTATAATAGAGATATAATGCCAGTGCAAGAAATTGAAAGATTTTCTGATTTATCCAAGAAAGACAATGTTGTGGTCAATTCAGTTTATTGTGTATTCTGTTGAATTCATTTAATAAGTGCTAATCCTTCTATAGCAACATGGTATTAACTATGGTGGGTGTCTCATTCTTTGATCCAAGATGTTTGTTGCTTTTACTGTGCTGTAAACGTTTTCTCTATCAAAAGTACTTTTCACTAATAAAGATAGGAATGTATATGTATGTATAATGTATGTGTGTGGGTATATATATATATATATATATATGCATATCTTGCTACATATAGTATATATAACGTACCGTACATGGTGTATGTTGTGTATACAATGTATATTTATGGTGTGTTTACTAATATGTTAGTGTTTATATGGTATATGTGTATATGTATTACGTACACATGTGTTTGTGTGTATTATCTCTTAGAGTTATTTTCTGAAGATTTCTCAAACCTTTCCTTCTAAAGAAACTGGCCAGATGTTAAATAGTTGAAACTCAGAGGTTGGTATTCATCCAGAAGGCACACTGTAGTGGGGCTTTTTTCTAAGCATGAAAGTTCCTACTCTAATTTTGAAGATTGATTTTAGCAAATATATATTGAAATATTGACAGTGTACAAAATACTTTGATAGATGGTGAATAATAAGTTTAAGCAAAAGGAAAATACGATTATGACATTGATACTTTTTGGCCTTTGAAAACTATTATGCTAATGATTTTTAAATTAACTTTTAGCACTATGTTTATGAGTTTGAGGAGGTATTTCCTATGCTTTTATTTTCGGAAATTGTGTGGGAATTTTGCATCAGTCAAGTGGAAGGCACCAGAGGAATAGTGATCTATTCAAAAGTCTATAAACAATAAATGTTTGTGTTAATTAAGTGTTATTTTGTGATACAGTTTACATACCATAAAATTCTTTTTTTAAAGTTAATTTTATTGGTACATTTTAGATATACATAATAATCATACTCATCATAGGGTCTCTTTTTTAAATTATGCCATTCAGTTGGTTTTAATGCCTAACACAGATTTGTGAAACCATTACCACTATCTCATTTTAGAATATTTGTATCCCTAAAAAATTCTAAAAACTCTGTTACCATTCCCTGTTACCCTGTATCTTTCATACCCACTAATCTAGTTGGTATCTTAATAGGTTAGCCTGTGCTGGACATTTCATGTAAATGGGATTATAGAATATTTTCCCTTTCTTTCTAACTGCTTTTACTTTGCATAATGTTTTCAGGGTTCATCTATGTTCAGCATATTATTGCATAAGCATTTCATTTGTTTTTTCTTTTTATAGCTGATTAATAAATACTAAAATTTTGTTCATCTGTTTTGTTGATGGAAAGTTGGGTTGTTTCCAGTTTGGGGCTGTAAATAATGTTTATGTGCATGTTCAGTTAAAAGCTTTTGGGTAAGTATGAATACATGTTTTTATTTCTCGTAGGTTATATATATTTTAGAGTCGAGGACTGGGGTGGTAGCTCATGGCTTAAGTGCCTGCCTGACAAGCACAAGGTCCTGAGTTTGATTGCTAGTACTGAAAAAAAAATAAGAAAAAAAAATTACATTTGAGTAAAATTGCTAGCTAATAATTAACCTATTTCATTTTTTTTTAAACTTTTCCAAGGGCTGGCCAAATAGCTCAGTGGATTAAAGCTCCTGCAAGCAGGCGCTGGGGCTGAAGGCTCAATCCCTGGGCCCGCCATGCCAGCCCTGCCCCTGGGGCGCGCTGAGATGGCAGTTGAGACTGGGCATGGTGTTGCGTGCCTGTAATCCCAGCACTTAGGACACTGTAAACAGGAGAATCACTGTGAGTCCAATCTAATAGTGGGACCCTGAACATCCTGTAGACCCTTCCCTAAAATACAAAAATAAAATAAAATAATGAACTTTTCCAAATTGACTATATAATTTTTTATAATCCTACCATTAGTGATTGAGAGTTCCAGTTTCTTGATATCTATCCCTGTCTCTGTTTCTCTCTCCAGCCCTTGTTTTCTTTGTCTTTGAGACAAGGTCTTGCTGTAATTCAAGCTGGTCTTGAATTCACTATTTAGCTCAGGCTGGCCTCAAACTCGTGGCACGTAATCCTCCAGTATCAGCCTCTAAAGTGCTAAGATGGCAGGCATGTACCACCAGGCTTGGCTTGTATATACCTTTTTTCAATTAGCAATAATCGCGCCTTGGATAAACCTCATTGGCTATGATACTGCCACTGCGCAAAGCTTATATATCTTTTTTTACTACTGAGTTTAAGAGTTTATTATGTAGCTCAGATAGAAGTCCCTAATGAAATATACGATTTGAAAATATTTTCTTTTATGACTTCCACCTTTAAAAAAATTATGGGCTGGGGAGATGGCTCAGTGGAATAAGCGCTTCCCTGGCAAGCACAAGGGGCTGAGTTCAATCCCCAGTTCTACCAAAAAAAAAAAAAAAAAAAAAAAAAAAAAAAAGTTTAAAAAAAAAATTATGTATTTGGTACAGAGTCTCATGATGCAGCTCATACTCATGGTGGTCTTCCTGTTTTCAGCCTTCTTGGCACTGGGATTATAGGCATGCACCAACACACCCGGACTCGGTCACCTGCTCAGTAGGGCCCAGGGGCAAGGCTGGAGTGGCACGTGGTACTGAGTATCTAATCCTGGTCCCTGCACTTACCTAAGCAGACGCTTAGTCTGGTGAGCTATCTCACCAGCCCTTTCCACCTTCTGGATGTCCTTTAAAACATAGAAGTTTTTAATATTGATGAAGTCCATTTTATGTTTTTAAATTTTAGTATTTGTTTTGTATTTAAGAAGCAGTTTCTTGATTTAATATTATAAAGATTTAGTCCTTTATTCTAAACATTTCATGGTTTTAATTTTTACAGTTATGTGTATGATCTCTTGATTTTTTTGTATATGGTTAGGGGTGCAACTTTATTCTTTTGAATGTGACTATCTAATTGTCCCAGCACCACTCATTGGACATATTTCTCCACTGATTGAACTGAGCATCTTTGTCAAAAGTCAATTGGTAGCTGCTTCAACAAAGCAGTCAGGCTCAGGTTGCTGTGGTTCGATCCCCACAACTCAAGCCAGCCAAACCTGCCCTGAAGGCATTTGGAGAGAGAAAAAAAAAAAAAAGTCAATTGGTCATAAACATAGGACTTCATTTCTGGATACTCCAGTCCTATGGCTTATGTCTAGCTATACCCCCTAAAGCCTCCTTCACTCATACTTGGGGCAGAGATGGCTGGATCTAGGATGTGATTGCTAAATTATGCCACTGACTGATCTGATCTAGCGTATTTCTTGTCATGGATAAGGGAAGGCCTGCTCTGGGTGTGTCTGCAGCACCACCCAAAGGGCAGTCTTGCTTGGAAGGGATGAAAGGAAAGGGGAAGGGTGCTTTTGCTTTTGCTGCTGTTTGTTGCTTGCTATCAGTGTTTCTTCTCTGCCGTGCCACTCTGCTTTGGAGCCAGGTGACTATGGGCTAAAAGCTCTATAAAATGTTAGCTATGATAAACCTTTCCTCCTTTAACTTTGGGAGCCGAGTATTTTGTCTCGCAATGAGAAAAGTAGCCAGCACATCTATTGATTTGCTCGTCTGTCTGTGCTATTGCCACACTGACTTTATTGCTGTAGCTTTATGGTAATTTTTGAAATTCCACAAATTTTAAATTGTACTTTCCCATTTTTACTCTTATTTTTCTTCATTACCCATATCCTTTTAGTTACCAGATTTTAATTCTTACTCTTTAATGTTTCTTAAATTGGTCAGTTGGTACCCCCTCTAACAACTTGCTTGTTCAGAACCTTAATTGTAGGAATTGTTGCTTAGTTTTCTTTTGTTTTTTAAATATTTTATAGTACTTTACATAAATTCACTCAGCTACTTTTCTTTGTTTACAAGCTATACTTGGTGTTAAATAGGTTTTGAGGAATATAACAGTGAATAAGACAGCTATTCTTCCTGAGTTCTGTCTTGGTTAAAATTATTTAGTAGTTCTCCATTACTTTGAGAATAAAGTTCAGATTCTTCAGCTAGTTATATTTAAACCTTTTAAATATTAGCTTCTAGAAAATCTCTGCTATCTTCCTTTATAAATGCTACATATGAACTGTGAGGCCAGTATTAAGCCTCTGAAAAATTCATTGGTAGTCAGAAAAGATTTGCAATACTCATCTTTATATTAACATATTATCTTGTACATTGCTAATATTGGCTTGTTTAATGTGATACACAATTACAAATGTCACAATTATAATGAAATATTTATAAGTAAATAAGATATATTAAAAAGAATATATTGACATCTCAATATAGAAGTAAAAAGGCTGAGATGCTATTTTATAATAAAAGTATTCTAGTTAGACTGCAGTGAAACTGAACCACAACCTGTCAAACTAGAATTGTCATCTTCTGGTCTCGGGCTATGCCAAATATTCTAAAATAACACATTGTGCTTCTGACCATACTGTTTGGCTTGTTTAGATAGTGTCTAGTGAATTTTTTTTATTTTTTCATAATTTTATTGAGAAACAGCAATGAGACAGTTTCAAATCAAATTGGTATGTCTAGTGAATTTAATTCTTTGCTTTCTTGAATATACTAGAAAGCCATAAATATCATTATAAAAAATTGAGCATACCTATGAACAAAGTAAAAAAAAAAAAATCTCATCTCCAAAATCACAAAGGTAAATCAGTTCTCTGTTATTGTAAAGAAATTCAATTGTTACTATTCAATAACTCTTCATATATGCTTAAAAGATCTTTGATTTAAATTTGTTTTCTTTTTCAACTGGCGATGAACTTTAAAAGGCGAAAGATTTATACGATCTGAAGAGAAACCAGAGTATAGCGATGAACTTTAAAAAAAACATGAGTGATGGGCTCAATTCGACCCCTTTCCAGAGTTTTATGAAGATTGGAGTGAATACCTTAAGCTTTGGCTCACTCTTCCAGCACATCACTCTGGGCCCCTGCTGTGTGCCAGCTACTGCTCTGTGCCCTGGTGCTGCAGTAGGTCAGGTGAACACGGCTCCTGCTCTCAGGAGTCTGCATGTTAAGGGCTGGTGATAGACTGATGGAAGTGAGGCAGACATACAGTACGGTCCAGGGGGTTTTTTTGTTTGTTTTTGGTGTTGTTGTTTTGGCAGAACCGGGGATTGAACTTAGGCCTTCGCATTTGCCAGGAAAGCGTTTATTCCACTGAGCCATCTCCCCTGCCCGGTCTAGGGATTGATGGTTTTACCTCACTAAAGTAAAATGTTAGAGGTTTTTTTTTTCTCCTTATAGTATTGTCCATTCTTTAACAGAGATTAAAGATTTTTAGAGAAATAATAGCAGAAAAATAAATGTATACTTTTTGGGACTTCAGTCTCTGTTCTAATATCGGAACAGCTAGGAAGTTGTCATTCTATTCTCCTAACAAGAAAAGCACAAACTGAGAATCAATTTCTTCATAGATTTATCAAATGATTGAAGTCATGCATCTACCACTCTGGAATACTAGAAAGACAGATGAATTACACAAATTGCAGCTTACCTGCAATATAAACTGCCACAACTGACGGGAACACTGAAGTGGTAGCTGACTGGTCACAGGTATTAGAGATGTGTGCCACCATGCCCACTTACCGTTATTTTTTTTATTCAGTGCAAAGTAGTTTCTCATTTTCTGGCAAAAGAGATTTTATCCCTGGTGGTGAATGTTCCATCTGCTCTTGAAAAGAATGTATTCTTCTTGCATAAAATGGAGTTTCTGTAAATATCCCATAGGCTAATACATCAGTAATGTTGTTCATGACGTTGTATCCTTATTGATTTTTCTGTCTAGTTCTTTTGTTGAAATTTTGGATTTGATATTTCCTGTTTTAATTCTTACCAGCTTTTGCTTCATATCTTTTGAAGCAAATTATGATTTCAATTACATTGAAATTATTATATATTTCTTAATTGTGTTTTATTATTTAAAGGATGATCTAATATCCATGTGTGATCACCATATAACCATCACTTTTTAAAAATTAGTCCTCGGATAATATTCTTCCTCCCTTTATTATATTATTTTTTTCCAATTCTGAGACCCTATTTCCATAGGGTCTCACTATGTAGTTCATATTAGCCTTGAACTCACTATGTAGCCCAGGCTGTCTTCAAACTCCCAAAGGTCCTCCTGCCTCAGCTGCCTGAACACTGGAATTATAGGCATGTACCAGCCCTACTTTTAAATCTGTCAGTATATTTAAAGTAAATTTCTGATAGCATATCATTGAATCCTGCATTTTTAATCCTTTCTTGGCAGTCTCTGTCTTTTAGATCATTTACATTTATTTGTTGATATAGTTTCATAATTATTTTTATATATTTTACTTTATATATGATATAAACATAAAATATTACATTATGTTGTTTTTTGTTATGTTGTATCTTTTGCTTTGGACTCTCATTTTTCTTTTAGAATGGTTGTAAATAAGAAAAAAATCTTTTATTTATCTTCCTTAGTACCATTTTCATCACTTTGGAAGTAGAGATATTTATACAAATGTATTTTAGCTTCACTAATACATACATATAGATGTATAATATACATATATGGGTGTGTATGTACATCTGTTTTTCACTTATTTTGCACAAGAGAGCTTAGAAATAATTATACACCCATATCAGTGATCACACTTCATTCCAGATATTGATTTTTAAATACCTTATTCACTGTAGGGAACCAGAAGTCCCTGAGAAATGACAAGATAACCTTGGAATGTCTTTCAATGACCAAAAAAAGGAGTGCTCTAAAAATGATGAGTATGTGTCTAAAAGACACAGGAGCCAGAGTGTATGAATTGTTACTGGCCAAATCTCAAAAAAGCTGAGCATCAAGAGTAAAAACAACAAATTAGAATTCATTGAACAAAATAAGAACCAATGCTTTCATGCTGATACAAATAGATCATAAAACAGAAGAAATATTTCTGTTAAATTATAATGCCAACTATTAAATTAGAAACAAAAACAAAATAGAAAGTCTTCATTTGATATCCAGCATAGCACTTTTGTGTGTGTGTGTGTGGTACTGGGAATTGAACTCAGGACCCTGCGCTTGACAGGCAGGTGCTTATTCTACTGAGCTCTCCCTGGCCCGAGATCCGTTATACTAATCATTATTTATAAGCGAGAATCATTAATAGGTTTTCAAACTAGTATGTTCAAGTTTGATCAGTAAAAAAATCATTTGATA